CACTGGCTGCTCAAGTAGTGAAACACCTTTCAAATACCAGAAATCTAGTGCTGGAGAGTGAGTACCCCATTCCCTCAGACGTTCTTCTTGCTTTTTCCCTCTAGCTGGTGGGCTCCTGCAGTCCAAATTTGCTAGCGTGATGTTCCAGTCCCCGAGCGCTGCTCTGCAAGACTCGAAGGGAGCGAGGACTTTGAGCAGTCCCCTGTCTGTGGCCCTTTGGTCGGCGACTTCTCCGTTGGCGGCTGCGTTCTCCGTACCTCCGACAGTCCCCGAGGTACCGATGAAAGCAGTTGGTGTGCGGCGGCAGCAGGGGCTTGTACCTCTGGAAAAATCCATCGCCTACGGCAAAGGGAAGCTGCTGATGGACATGGCCCTCTTCATGGGGCGCTCCTTTCGCGTTGGGTGGGGACCCAACTGGACGCTGGCCAACTGTGGAGATCAGTTGAGTGGATCCCGTGAAGTGGAAGATCTTCAGAGCGCATCTCTGGAATACGGATTCCTGACAACTTCTGTTGCTCCAAAATTGTGAGTAGCAGTTTCCTCCAGCATGGGTCTGACATACTCTCTCTTTATTCGATAGAATCCTGATTGTAGGCCGATATCTTTTTGAAATTCGGCTTAATAGTCCTCCTGGTGTGCCAAAGTGGTGCAAGATACACGATATCGTGTTGGCCATGGAGATTTCTTCCAGGCTGCTACTTTACAAAAATTTCTATCTCCAAAAATTGGAATATCATAGGAGGAGTAGTTGCCATCGTCCAGCAAAAGGTTAAAGAGAGAAAGTTCAAAATTGTTGTCCAGGAAGCTTCTAATCTGGTGATGATTCTCCCTGAGGATATCTGCACTGCCTGAGAAATTCCTTGTTCAGCTTGTGCCTCAGGCAGTGTGCCGACCTTTCCGGGGCTGCGAGCGCCGCACCTGGACTTGGCTGGAATAGAGCTGGATGTCCTCCCACTTCACTCTTCCAAAAAACTTGTTCAGTTGATGTTCTCCAGCATATCTGGTTTTGCCTGGAGAACAGTTCAGAATGCTGATACCTGTTTTATATCACCTTTTTTTCCTCCAGACTCTCAGAATCCTCTTTCAAGGTTCATGTGGAGAAGCTGAGCTTGGAACAACGGAAGAGAGACAGAGACAAACAGCTGTATCTCGTCCCTCTGGAGATAAAGCTGAAGCACAGCACTGTCCACATGGATGAGCGCTGTCCTCTCCTAGCCCCCAACCCCGGAGTCTCCGCTATTCACGACTACGCGGACTGGGTTCGGCAGGCAGCCGAGGATCCTGCTGTCACGGAAAGTGAGTCCGGAATAATTCTTTGTCATAATGGTGAGGGTGGATCTGGAAAAGTGCCTAGTCAGGATCAATCGGTTCAGGTTGCATCAGAGGGGTGAATAAAACAGAAGAATCGACTGTACTTTAGCGTTCTTTCTGAAAGCCTAAACGGGAGTGGCTGCATTTGGGGAGCCAGCTGGTTATCGACTGGTACCAGTAGGATATCCCTCAAGATATCCTCCGAGGTTGTGTTTATCTTCTAGGAGTCCTCTGTAAAAGTTCTTCTGTTTGTTTTCACCCGTGATGACGGAATAACTCTGTCCTGACAGCTGTGGTGAAGCACTGGTGCCTGACGTGGACTCTGTGTGAAGCCATCTGGGGGAACCTGAAGGAGTTAGAGGCCAGCTTGGAGGAACCCAGCGAATACACCCTGGCCCTGGAGCGCAGGAAAGCCTTCTCGCGCTGGCTGTCGGAGACGGCTGCGGGACGAATCGAGGAGGAAGTCTCGTTGTCCCGCCACGGCAATCGCATCGAGGCTGTGTTCAGCTGCCTCACGGGGAAGAGGATCGGTGAAGCTTGCAGGCTGGCCCAGCAGTCGGGTAAGATGCTGAAATCTTGGGTTTTTGAGGAGAGGGGAAAGGAAGAGGCAGAAAGAGAATCTAAACTCTCAGAGCGAGTTACTGGCCACTCTGAGGATGGATTTTCCCATGTCTGACAGTGACTAAGGTGGGGATGGCTTGTCTGCGTGCTGCTTGGTCATACTTAGAATCATCGAATCATTAAGGCTGGACAAGACCTCAAGGATCATCCAGTCCAACTGTCAACCCAACCCCACCCAACCCACTAACCCATGTCCCCAAGCACCACATCCACACGTTTCCTGACCCCCTCCAGGGATGGTTTACCCATCGGCTCTCCTGGGGCTGGGAGCTGATGCTGTATTGCATCAGGAAATGGTTTTTTTGCATAGTATCTCCTTTGAATGTTTTTTTTTAAATTACTGTTATTTTTTAATTCAGCTTCTGTTCAGCTAGTTTACATTTGTTTTAAACCACACCTTTCCAGACCTTAACGGCTGGTTTCATCCTGGTCTTTTATGTGAGCTCAAATCTTTAAAATGTCCATTCTCTCCTTTGGGGAGTCTGTCCTTCCCGTTCCTTTGTCTTCTCCCCATGCTCCCATGGTGGGAGGTGTTTATTATTTCCTAAGAAATTGCTCACAAGGAACAATTCAGAAGCAGCTAGCTGTGGCCCTGCTGGGCAGGAGGATTTCCCTGCTGATGTGCTGTCGTCTCCCGCTCCAGGCGACCACCGGCTGGCTCTGCTGCTCTCCCAGCTGGCCGGCAGCCAGCCCGTGCGCGATCTCCTCACCATGCAGCTGGTGGACTGGCACCGGCTGCAGGCGGACGGCTTCATCCAGGAGGAGAGGCTGCGCATCTTCGCCCTGCTCGCAGGAAAGCCGGTAAGTTCCGTCCCTCGGCTGTTTTCTCAGTGACTTGACTTCCCCTCCTTGGCAGCAGAACCTCGGAGCTGTGGGGACCACAGCACGTGGGACGTGGCAGGAAGGGAGTACAAGGCGCTGACGTGGTGTTTGGTTTTTTTTTTTTTTTTTTTACTAACATAACATCTAAATCTTGCATGCCTGGAATGCACAGACCATTGTGGGATAAGTTTGACTGAACCGAGTGATTTGTTTCTTCAGGTGTGGCAGTTATCAGAGAGAACAAGCATCAACGTGTGCTCGCTGCTGGACTGGAAGCGCTGCGTGGCTGTGCACCTCTGGTACCTGCTGCCGCCAACAGCTTCCATTCCCAGGGCACTCGCCATGTACGAATCGGCGTTTCAGGTGGGTCGGTCGTGCCGGGGTAAAGGGAGGTCTCGCTCAGTGCCGTTGACGGTCCGATGCTGTACCGAGGCTTCTGTGAGCTGTCGAGTATCGCTGCTGAGTGTGGAATTGCGGCTGGGTTCACTATTGCAGTTGTCAGAGCATCGGGTTCTTTTCCCAGCTTCAGGGGTGAGTTTTTGCAGCAGCTCACTTGGACAGAAATGTTCTGTCACCCGCTGGAATGGGAATAAAGCTGCTGAGGTTGAGCCTGGTGGTAATTCTAGTTGCTTGTGAAGCTTAGGACCTGCTCTTTGGGGTCTTCTGGTTGTGGCTTATTTGTAGTGTGTCTCCCACTGATGGTTTCTGGATGTTTCTTGGACCTGCTGGAGTGGGGCCAGAGGAGCCACGGAGATGGTGCGAGGGCTGGAGCAGCTCCCGTGCGAGGACAGGCTGAGAGAGTTGGGGGTGTGCAGCCTGGAGAAGAGAAGGCTCCGGGGAGAGCTTCTGGCAGAACTTCTGGGGGGTCTCCAGGAAAGATGGGGAGACCCTGGGCCAGGGTGCCCAGAGCAGCTGTGGATGCCCCATCCCTGGAGGGGTTCAAGGCCAGGCTGGATGAGGCTTTGGGCAACCTGGGCTAGTGGGAGGTGTCCCTGCCCATGGCAGGGGGTGGCACTGGATGGGCTTTAAGGTCCCTTCCCACCCAACCCAGTCTGGGATTCTATGTTTGACAGCTGGACAAAATTAGGAAGAGAGGTGGTGGCCAGCAGCAGGAAGGCCCTTGAGCTCGGCAGCCAGTCGGTTTCCCCGATGTGATGATCAATCCTCAGCTGCTGCTTTCTGAAAGTCTCCCCTGAACCATCCCCCCGGTTTGTGACTCTCGCAGTTTCCCAGCACATGGAGGCTGTCCTGCTGGCAGCACATGCATTATGCAGAGCCGTGTTTGTTGCTGCAGAGCTGTCAGCCTCTGCCTGTGTAACGACAAAGGGTTCTGCTGAAAAACGTGTTCAATCATTTAACTAAAGATAGTTCAGCCCTCGACCTGTGTGCCTAGAGACAGCCCAAGCACAGCATCACCTTCCACTCTGCAGCAGAAAGCAGCGAGCTCGGGAGCGGCGTGGAACCCAGACTGTGGTTTTGTTCGGGGTACTACCTTTAAACTTACTGTTCAAACTATTTTTTTTTTTTTTTTTTTTTTTTTTTAGAACACACCAGAGTGTGAAAAGTACGCCTGCTGTCCTCTGCCTCCCTACCTGGAAGACTCTGGTTGTGTTGTTGAAGAAGATGATAATGCAGGAAGACCTCTGAGAGATGTCTGCTTCCATTTGTTAAAGCTCTACAGCGACAGGTAAACGGGGAAATGGGTCAAAAACTGTTCAGAAAAATCTTGATCAGCCAGGGACTTCTTGAATTCCCAAAAAATCAGCTTCAGTGCTTACTGAACCACTTACCGTAGTCAAAAATCTGCTGTGCCTGTGCACCCTTACAGAATGTGGTGAGACTGTCACCACAGGTGAGGAAACTGCAGGTTTGTGGGGTTTTTCTGACGTTCTCTGTGTCTGAAGAGTGCAGCAATCTTGCTCCACCGTAGCTGCTGAAGGCATCGAGAGATCTGCAGGAGGAGCACTTGCAAAAGAAAAGGTTGTGACGGTCTGGATAAGGACGGAAAAGAAGAACGAAAGAAATTTAGCATTGCTCATATCTTTAAAAAAAAAAAAAAAAAGAAAAAACCACAAAAACCCCACCAAAAAAAAAAATCAAAAAACCAAACCACCAACAAAAACCCCACCCGCGTAAATCCCATCAGCGGAATAGCTGGAGGCAGGTGAAGGGAAGGAACTGAGTAGCTCCAATTTCTGATTTTGTTGTGTGGACGCTTAGCTACTGATGTTTCAAATCTCTTTCCCCCCCAGACACTATGACCTTGACCAGCTGCTCGATCCCCGGAGCATCACGTCCGACCCTCTGGACTTTCGCCTCAGCTGGCACCTGTGGGAAGTGCTCCGAGCCCTGAACTACACCCACCTCTTCCAGCAGAGCCAGGGCGTGCTGAACGCCAGCTACGCCGCCCAGCTGGAGAGCGAAGGCCTGTGGGAATGGGCTGTTTTTATCCTGCTGCACGAGCCTGATATGCAGTGAGTAGAATAATTTATTTGAATTTTTTTTTTCCTCCTTGAAAATAGCGTGTTCTGTTCTGCAGACCTGCTGGGTGCACCGTCATTCTTCTCGCATTAAACTGGAACCACCCAGCTGGGGAACTTTGTGCTGCTTGTAAAAACTCTGGGCTGGGATTCAAGTGGCGTGAAATAATTCTGCTGGGCTAAATGACTCGTTAGGTGTTAATTAGTAGTGTCTCATAGTGACTGTAGCTCCTGAATGGGGCTGGAGAAGCAGATCTCGTTCCTTTTGCTCCCCAAGGGCTGCGTGTCTTGTCTCCGGCTCAGCAAGCTTCCAGCGCTCAAAAACTTGTCTTGGAAACATCATTTGTGCAAAATATTGTTCCCACTGGAGCTGAAGGGCAGCGAGTGTGTTTGGCAGGAGAGCCTGGGTGCCTCTGCTGTGAAATACAGATTTAACAAACGGTCTGAAACTTGCCGATAATGCAGCTTTTGGGGAAAATTGTCTCTTTTTTTTTTTTTTTTTTTTTTTTCCAACTGATAACTTCAGCCAGAGCCTGTGTATCGCTTTCAGGCACCTGGCTCACACTTGAATATTTTTAAGCAAAACACAAGCGCTGCCTCCTTTCTCAGTGGCCAGCCTGTACTGGAGGAATTCAGCTGATTTTAGAACTTTTTCATATCCTCCAGTAAGATGATCCCAGCCCCAGCGAGGCTGTTTTGCCTCTGTCGCTGATAACAATAGCGCAGTTCTCCGCTGCCGCCTCTGGTCCTCGGCTGCGTGTTTGGAATATCTCCCGACAGAGAGGTGGGAAGGATCGTTGGAATAACGCCGTGTCCTCTCTCCCCCCAGCACCCGGGAGAAAGCCGTGCGCGAGCTCCTCAGTCGCCATTGCGTTCTCTCCGAGACGCCCGAGTCCTGGGCCAAGGAGAATTTTCTGACGCAGAGGCTCTGCGTCCCCCCGGAGTGGATTCACGAAGCGAAGGCGGTTCGAGCCCGGATGGAGGGCGACAGGCACAAAGAAGCCCTCTTCTTGGTCAAGGCGGGGCACTGGAACCAGTGTCACAAGCTGGTTGTCAGGCACTTAGCCTCAGGTGAGTCTGCTCTCTGAATTTTTTCCATTCTGAATGTGAACAGTGCGTAAACGTGGCAGGAACAGAACTCGTGGGGTGCTCGTAGGAAGGGGTGGGCTGTGTTTCTAGCAAGAGGGGCTGGATTTTCCACCTGCCGTAACGATTCTTCCCCCAAACACGCCAGAAGGGCAGTGCTGACCCTTCTGCAAGTCCCCTCCCTGTGCCGGAGGGAACCAGGGTGGCGCTGGCGTTCCCAGAGCCCCCATCCTGTGGGTGGCCCTGCCCTCGGAACGTAGACTGGCCTTAGGGGGGTCCTGAATCCAGAGTGTCTGACCATGGCTGGTGGCCTCAGGGAATTATAGAAGTGGCTGAGAGCACACTCTGTCACTTGGGGGGGGGGGGTTTGGGGGGTTGGTTTGTTTTTTTTTTTAACAATCAGTGACTTGTAAGAAACCCTCTTGCTCTGTTCCTTCCTCTTCAGACGCTATTATTAATGAAAACTACAAGTACCTGAAGGGATTCCTGGAAGATCTCGCTCCTCCTGACCGCAGCGCGCTCATCCAGGAATGGGAGGTGGCGGGGCTGGTCTACCTGGATTACATCCGTGTCATCGAGATGCTGGACAGGATTCAACAGGTAAAAAAAACTAATTTTTTTTTTTTTCCTTACAGTTTGGAAGCTCGTACACAGTCTCACTTTCAGAGTAACCTTTTCCTCGCTTTTCAGGGTTACCGTTCGTTAGTTTTGCAGACCCTAGCCCACAGAATATGATATATTTCTGAAAATACAGAGGGTTTTGGTAGATATTGGCAAAATAAGGTGTGGGCTCTCTGCTGCAAAAACACGCTCTGTGCAGCATGACAGCGAGAAAAGCGAGAGAGAAGTGTCAGTCCCCCCTAACTCAGTTCCAGGTTTCCCATTTCCCCCACTTAAGGTGTTAACTTCACGCCGGTTTCAGCGTGGGCTGTTTTCTGTCGGTTAGACTTGGCTTAGCAACCCCAGGCAGCCCACGAGCAATCCTGACACAGAGCGTTGGGTGACTCGGAGCCTGACTCTGTTGGTTTTTTCCAGCTGGATTGTTCCTCCTACGAGCTGGAGCGGTTACACACCAAAGTGACGTCGCTGTGCAACAGGATAGAGCAGCTCCGGTGCCACAGCGCGAAGGACCGCCTGGCTCAGTCAGGTACCGTCACGGCGGGGTCTGGCAGCCCTGGGGACAGGGCTGGCTGTCACCAGGGTGTCTCTGTGCTGAGGAGGAAGGCTGTGGCTGGCACGGTGAGCTGTGTGCTGCTCCAGCAGTTACCGAACAGCTTTTTGTCACCGTTTCAGGCAGGTTTTGCTGCCTGCTTGATGTGGCATCTGGTGTGTGGTCCCTTCCAACAGCTGCCTGATGAGCGGCAAGGCGGCTCGTCCACACTGAGTTCTCGTGTGTGATGGGTTTGCCCTCGGTGGGAGCCAACCCATGCAGCCACTCGCACACCCTCCCCCCCCATCCGAGGATGGGGGAGAGAATTAAAGGGGGGGAAGGAAAAAAGGACTCATGGGGTGAGATAAGAACAATTTAATAACCAAACTACAATAATATTGGAAATAATACTCTATACAAATATACGAATGAGTGATACACAGTGACACTGCCCCCCAACCCATGACCAAGGCTCAGCCTGTTCCCGGGTAACGATCTCGGAGCAGGGAGAGTCCCGAAACTGTACTCACGGAATGGAGAGAACAGTCCGA